ATTTTAAGCCATGGTTACAAACTTCCAGGGGGCAGGATCCTGTGATGTTACATGGTTGAAGAAAGTAACAGTTCTTCTAGTGTTTTACAGTGATAATATTTGCCCCCAGAAAATTACATGTCACCAACTCTCCAATAATTGATGGATGGATGCAGGTGGCGCTGTGGGTTAAACCACAGAGCCTAGGACTTGCTGATCAGAAGGTTGGCGGTTTGAATCCCCGCAATGGGGTGAGCTCCTGTTGCTCGGTCCCTGCTCCTGCCAACCTAGCAGTTCGAAAGTACGTCAAAGTGCAAGTAGATAAATAGGTACCACTCCAGCGGGAAGGTAAACGGCGTTTCCGTGTGCTGCTCTGGTTTGCCAGAAGTGGCTTAGTCATGCTGGCCACATGACCCGGAAGCTGTACGCCGGCTCCCTCGGCCAATAAAGCGAGATGAGTGTCGCAACCCCAGAGTTGGTCACGACTGGACTTAATGGTCAGGGGTCCCTTTACCCTTTACCTTTTTAGAATCATCTCTGTTCAGGAGTTGTATTTATACAGTCACCATTGTGTATAGTTTCACCTGCTGCAACTCCTATGTCTCTGTTATACACATACCTGGGGAAAATGTGCCATAACAGCAACAGCAACAATTTGGGGTGGAGCTATGAAGTGGGAGAAGGTGTATATTAGGAGCATTTCATATTAAAATTGATAGATTTTCATAAGGGATCTTTTAAAACAACAACAACAACAGATGTGAAGATGTGGAGAACTGAATTTAAGACTGGGTTGGGGGGAGAAACTGAGAGAAGTCAAAATTGAAAGATTCTACCTTCCCTAATTTTAACAGTTGCGGGCCAAGGCCCTGTGACCCCACAGTTTCCTTGGGAAATGAATAACCACATACGAACAACATTTTGGGGTTTGGGCTTGACTAAGGACACAATTTACGTGTTATAGCAGAGTGGTTTGGCATAGGCATTGGGTAAATCTGTTGCTATTCCACTACAGTCCATCCCCCACATCTTGGGGGGGATGCCCTATGATCTACATCAAATAGGGGTATGCCCTGCGGGGTCTCCATTGGAGGAGTGGTATGGCCCTAGTCCTTGCCTTGGCATCAGACAGAAGCCACTCCTCCCAGATCCTTTTAACAGGATACCCTTTTCCAAGGAGGGGCAGGCAAGATCCCCTCCAGCAAATATCTAGGCTCACCCAACTTTGCCTTACAAAGTTGTGATAACTGCTATGAGGTAAGCAAAAACCAGATGGCTGATGCCAATTTACCAAATGGGAAAAATCCTGCCTGGTCCCAAATATGGTGACTGACTTGGTCCATAGCAAGGTCATAGCACAAGAAAAGCAATCAGGTTAAGGGAGGGTGGGAAGGAAATCCAATGAAAAAAGCAGGGCGGAGAGCTGGACAGGCCACAATTTAACGACCCCTAGATGTGGGCCCAAGCATCCTGATTGGTTGGTTCTGCTGCCAGGGGAACACATAGTAGTAGTAGTAGTAGTAGTAATAAATTTATAACTTATACCCCATCAATCTGGCCGGGCCTGCACAGCCACTCCGGGCAGCTCCCAACAGAATATTAAAAACATGATAAAACATCAAACATTAAAAACTTCCCTAAACAGAGCTGCCTTCAGATGTCTTCTAAAAGTCAAATAGTTGTTTATTTCTTTGACATCTGATGGGAGGGTGTTCCACAGGGTGGGTGCTACTACTGAGAAGGCCCTCTGCCTGGTTCCCTGTAACCTCACTTCTCACGGTGAGGGAACCGCCAGAAGGCGCTCGACGCTGAACCTCAGTGTCTGGGCTAAACGATGGGGATGGAGACACTCCTTCAGTTATACCCAACGAAAGTCTGCTGCCATCGGCTAATTAGCTGGCAGCCGGGTGATCTGGCCTTCCATTTGCTGATTCACTTGCATCGTCCAAGGCCTGGCCACAACGCTACCCGCCGAGGAAGGTGAGCAGATTTGTGTGCCAAGGCCCTGTGACCCCAATGTTTTCTAGGGAAATGAATAGCCACAGATTTCTTCAACATGTTACAAAACTAAAATTACTACAGTGGTACCTCAGGTTAATTACTTAATTCGTTCCGGAGGTCCGTACTTAACCTAAACTGTTCTTAACCTGAAGCACCACTTTAGCTAATGGGGCCTCCTGCTGCTGCCGCGCTGCCGGAGCACAATTTCTGTTCTCATCCTGAATCAAAGTTCTTAACCTGAAGCACTATTTCTGGGTTAGCGGAGTCAGTAACCTGAAGTGTATGTAACCTGAAGCGTATGTAAGCAGAGGTACCACTGTACAGTGGTACCTCGGGTTAAGAACTTAATTCATTCTGGAGGTCCGTTCTTAACCTGAAACTGTTCTTAACCTGAGGTACCACTTTAGCTAATGGGGCCTCCTGCTGCCGCTGCGCTGCCACCACACAATTTCTGTTCTCATCCTAAAGCAAAGTTCTTAACCTGAGGTACTATTTCTAGGTTAGCGGAGTCTGTAACCTGTAGAGTCTGTAACCCAAGGTACCACTGTACTGGTAATAATATACTGCTTGTAACAAAATTGATAATAATGGTTTGATGGGAGTAGAAATGAAGTAGACGAAGGACACATTACTAGGGTTGCTGGCTAAAACCTTGAATAGGAACACTCCATGCTACCTTTGGTTAAAGTTCTCACATGCCTCCTGTAGTGCAATCCTACAAAAAAAGCATCCATTTATGCTCCTGGAGAAATGTGAAAGATGGACAAAGGAGAAGAACAAGCACTGCAGCATGAGAGAACTGAAGAGTCTAGTGAATGGTACATGGGTGTGTTTCACAACCTGCCTAATGAGCCGACTGACATACTAAACAATAATTCCATGGTGAGATTAAAGGAGGGAAGGAGAGAGACAGACTGCAGCCTATGCTTCTCTAGGGGTCCAAGACACCACTGCAGGCCTTTGCTGGTGATGACGTTTGATCTTTAAGGGCCTGCAACTGTAAGCCAAATGCTATGTGTCCTCAGCATGAGGAATTAAAGATAAAGTGACATTTTTGTCCCCATGTCCTGCTTTTCTTTGCTGACCCATTTCCAAATGGTTCTCTGCAACTGACTCTTAAGAGAGCTGTATTTTAACAGGCTGGCCACTTTTTCTTAAGGCCTGATATTCTACTTCGTTTCTGTTCCGCAGCTAAGAGCTTAGCATGCTGAAAGCCTCGACTTTGCTCTCATATAGATGCAATCATTGCAGAACTGCAGCTCTTTCTCCCACCACTGCCTTTTTTATTTCCTCTTCCATTCCCATGGGAACAATGAAGTCTTATAAATATATGCTGGCTGTAGAAACTACTGATCTTATTCCAGAAAAGAAGGCTCCGCTCTACATTTTCCCTGAGTTTGAAAGACAGCAAATCTTGAGATATTTTCCTCCAAACACTGGTTTAAAGAAGTCCACAGGATGTCTAGGATTGCAGCTATAACCTGTATTTAAAGTGCCATAAGATTTTAGGTTCCATTCTCATTCTCAATTGCTTCATGAAACAACGGACGCACAACAGTGACAAGTTGACTGTGACTTGTGAACTTGGTATTTGCCCCTTCTTCAGATGAAGTGATCAGAGATCAGGTGATCCTGAAGACAAGCAATTCAGCTCATGAGAAGTGGACTCACCAGGCAGATAACAGTTTTTAAAATGTCCAAAAGACTGGTATGTGTTCTCCAGACAAAAAAATCTTGGGCCACACAGAAATGCTGTTTTCTTTCTCCTTATATTGAGGATAGCGCTACACAAAAGGGAGAACAAAAATACTGTTGTATTAAAATGGATTTTAGACCAAAAGCAGCAGTATTGTTTCATTAAAGGGTTTCTTTTTAAGAAAGAAAGAAAGAAAGAAAGAAAGAAAGAAAGAAAGAAAGAAAGAAAGAAAGAAAATACCTCTTAGCACAGCACATAGTCAAGCTACAGATTTGCTTTCAACAGACGTAGTGATGGCCACCAGTTTGGATGACTTTTTAAAAATTGACAGATTTCTGGAGGATAAGGCTATCAAAGTCTACGAGTCCTGATGGCTATGTTCCAAATATGCTGTTGGAGACAGTATGCTTCTGAAGATCAGTTTCTGGGAATCACAAATGGGGATTGCGCTATTGCGCACATTTCCTGATTTCAGACTTCCCACATATGTTTGGCTGGTTGCTGTGTGAACAGAGTGCTTGTCTAGATGTGACTTTTGCCTATTTCAGTCGGGCTGTTCTTGTGCCCTTGGGTTCAGGGTGAAAAATCAGATGCGACTGTTTAGCTCATTCCTGAGTAATTATAATAATTAATAAGAATGATAAATTCATTACATTTGTTATATTAATGTATGATAAATGAGGTTAATAAGAATTTGGGCTTATAGTGGATGGGGCAAAGGGATAATGATTCAGCATATTAATTTGGTCTTCAATAATTGCATAAGCTTATTTGGTATCACATATTTATGAGTTCAATATAGAGCAAAGAGAAATAGCTTTGCGAGCTCCCTTACAGTCCTAAAACAAATTGTCTGTATACACGAACTGTAAAACTACAGTGAAGTAACTGTTCTCCAGGTTAGATTCTCAAGAAATCTGAGAATATTGCTAGAACTGTAAGCATCTCGAGGATAATTGACTATGTCAACAGTGCAGTTCTACATGGGTTCACTCACAGTTCATCGAATTGTGTTGAAGGGGCTTACCCCTTAGTAAAGTGTGCCTATTACTGAAGCTTTACATGCTATGTCCCATAATCTAAAAAGAAAAACAGAAACTTGATCCAGTTTGGAGGTGGCAGCTAATCAGGTTGTTTCTCTTTGTGGGTGCTGCTTTTACAAGAGAATATCTATCTGTCTGTCTGTCTGTTTGTCTGTCTGTCTGTCTGTCTGTCCAATTAGCAGCCTTTTACAAAGGTATCACTCATGTGTGAATATATCCCTAGTCCAACTTTCAATTAGAAGAAATTGAGCTCTTAACCAGGATCTACTGATGCATGTACCAAGCTCTGAACACAAAGCAGAGCTTAACAACAACAACCACTAACAGAACCCCCTATTACATTTTTGGGTTATTGTTTTTTAAAGAACTGGGGCAGAGTTCTGTTTGGGGATGGGAATATGAAATCCTTGCTTAGTCAACACAATGTATCTAAAAGAGGCTAGTCAGTTCTTCCTGCAACTTTAAGGGATTTCATTGAAGCCTTGATCTGAAGGTTTTTCTACTTGAGAAAATGGGGCCTCTAATCAACACGAATTATGCTTCATTGCCACAAGGCATGCAGTTAATGGTTTGGCTAATCATGTTTCTTCAAACTGTAGGGTTGCCATATTCCCCAAAGTGAAAATCAGGACAAACTTGTTTGGGGGCTTTTCTTTGAATATATATATATATATATATATATATATATATATATATATATTTCCCAACTTGCCATATATCTGGGTTTTCCTGGACATTTTGATGATTCAGCAAAACTCCGCCTGGATGCCATTTTGGTGAGTGATTCCCAAATGTGTCCAGCAAAACCCGGACGTATGGCAGCCCTAGAGCAGGCTTTTTATTTAACTGACAGAATTTTTACTTAACAGACAGAATATGCCATTGAAATATTATGTATTAACAAATTATTACTGAAGAGTTCTCGGTTTACTGCATAAACTCTCTTTTTAAAAATCTACCTAAACGTTTATGGTCTCGGATTGAAAACATTCGCCATTGGGACCAAGGCTTTAAAATCAGGTACAGTGGTTTACAAATGTCATATATACCAGGAGTAGCCTACGTGGTACTTTTTGTCAGCCCCAGCTAGCATGTCCAACATCCAGTAACATCTGGAGGGCATCAGATTGCTTGATATATACTCATATGTTCTTGTTTAAAATGGAATGTAAACTCACACCTTTAAATTATTTGCTTTGATACTTCATTTCTAAGCCAGTCAATATTTCAAGAAATCTCTAAGTGGTGTCCATTAGCTACAGTATAAAGATGATATCCAGTAAAATGAAAATGCAGCCTAAAACCAATAAAACAACAGTATAGAAACATATACAAGCAAATAAAACAGAGATTCAAGAGAACCATGCACATAAAACATGGTCCAATCTTATGCCTGGTCAAATATGATTCCACATACTTCTGCTGTGCTTACTCTAGCCATCCCAAGACATTTCAAATTCTTTAGCTCAATAATGATCAGAGATACTGTTGCTGCACCTCAACGAAATAGTGAAATTGTTCATGAAAGGAGGAAGCAATCTGAAATGTGCCTCTCATTGTGTGTCAGTTGTAAACTGTTAAACTTGTTCTTGCAAGTCTTCCATTGTGCACGTGTGAGCCACATAATACAAACCTTCATACATAAAAGACATGTACTCCATCTCTCCATGTGTTGCTATGGTTTCCCCCTGACAATTCAATTTCAATTGTTTTCGTGTGTCTTATGATCACGATGTGTTGTGATTCGGCAGATGCATTTCTGAAAAGCCTTCAGATAGATCCCTATAGCGTTTAACAAGGTTTTCTTATACTTGGTGGTATGGCGAATTTGTGACGGTTTCTGAAGTGTGGCTTTCCATTCGAATCCCTAAGAAGAAGGAACTGAGGTAATTGGGAACTGCGGCGCACCAACCAGATATTACAGCACAAAATATAATAATAGCATTGCCTTCCTCAGGGGGGAGGAACAAGGGAATTCAAAAGCTAGTCTGCACCCAGTTTTAGAAATATCAAGTCCTTACACAGATATAATAGATCTGCACCATGATGGCTTTCTTAGATCATTCCACAGCGATAAGGTCAGACTCTCAAAGTAAAAATATTACTAGCCTTCTGCATTGTCCTCCTGGGACTAAGCCTTCCCTCCAGCACTTCTTGACTTCACAGCTGTAGATTAATGCTCTGATTCTTTCTCCAGCCCCAGATCCCCACTGTTATTGTTAATAGTGCTGTCCTCCTTGTTAATTGCATCACTCATGTATGGATATTCTGTACCAAGTGGGTAGGTCAAATTATATGGAAACCTCCTTGCCAGCATTAGCAGCTATGATGGAACAGGAATGGTGATGAAGTCCTTGCTCTGGAAATAGAAAGCCCTAAAGAACTTTCAACCAGGTTACCCAAAGAACATTCTGCCCCTGTGTAGACCTTTAAGATCACAGAATCGTAGAATTGTAGACTTGTAAAGGATCCAAACTTTACCTATACTACGGTATCTGCCACTTAGCAGAAGGTTTTTCTGACCTTCATTGATGCAATATGGAAAGCATCTGAAACGTGGATTAGCATTAACATTTATTCATGTACAAAATGGTTTCTAAGGTTCTTCAGAAGTTGCTATGCACTCACCGAGCACATAAAGACACACACACACACACGCTAAAGAGTACAAAAATCCCAAGTAGAGAACAATTAAGATAATTATTAAAGCACTTACCAAGACCGCTCCAACTGAGTTAATTTAAAAGGGCAGTTTTTATATAAAAGGGGCCTTTTGTCCGTCTGCATGTAGAATGTAGAAAGATAAACATTGAGGCAGCAGTCAGCCTTTCAAATGTTACAGATTCTTTTCTTTTTTTAAAAAATAAAGTGCTTAAGTATATAGTTATGCAGTCTCTGAATACATTCCAGCTAAAAAAGGGCATTTGACAATTATTCTCCTTGCCTTTCATGGGACATAGCTCTAATCCATGTTGTGCCTTGTCAGTGAAGCCTCCTTTAACACTAATTGGCTGAGCTGGTGCGATGCCATGGAATGTTTATGAATATTCCAAATGCTCTGAGAGCAATGCTGTCAGAATGTTTGCATTCCAAATTCCATGAAGGAAGGTGAAGTTGTCAGTTTGGCAGGAATGAAAAACAGGGCTAATAAGGGAAGAAGCACCAAAGAAACCTTGGTGTTTTCAGTCAGGCTATATCGGAAGGTCGGCGGTTTGAATCCCCGCGACAGAGTGAGCTCCAGTTGCTCGGTCCCAGCTCCTGCCAACCTAGCAGTTCGAAAGCATGTCAAAGTGCAAGTAGATAAATAGGTACCACTCTGGCGGGAAGGTAAACAGCATTTCTGTGCGCTGCTCTGGTTTTGCCAGAAGCGGCTTAGTCATGCTGGCCACATAACCTGGAAAAACTGTCTGCGGACAAACAGTCAGTAAAGCGAGATGAGCGAAGCAACCCCAGAGTCGTTCGTGACTGGACTTAACTGTCAGGGGTCCTTTACCTTTTTATATGCTATGGAAAGGGGCAGAAAATACTGCTACAGAGACTTGATGGGGGGGCAGCTGCCTCCCTGCCCCCCCCAGCTATGCCAATGGTGCTACTGATCCCCAAATTTATTATGTTTTTATATTTGCTCAGTCTCTTGCTATGTGACAAGTGAACCGCTATAGACATTTTTTGTCTTGCAAGGGCACAATTTTCCTAAAATGTAACATTTCTTCTTCCAAGACATGATGTTAATAGACAAAGTCCTGTTCATAGCTATCAGCAACTTGCTTCTCCCCCTCTCTTCTTGGCAACCTTGAAGAAATCATGTTCGAAATGGCCAATCATACATTAATTTTTTCTCAATCATAATATCATTGATTATCATTCAAAATAGTAATACTCTAAGGGTAATATGAATACATTAACAAATTCACAAAATATTCACCTTTGTTTTGCAAAATAATACCTTGTTATGGTGTGTGACACTACAAACGTATATTTGAAAATGTAAGGCAAATAGAGTAACATTGGGAGAAGTCATTTGCCAGGAATCTCTAGTTTATTTTCTTTTTGCTTGCCCTTTTAAACAGCAATGAATTCCAGCGAAGGAACCAGTGAATAGTCTAATAGCCACATTGAAAGACATTCGGAAACTGACAGCTGACAGCATTTCTCAAAGCTCCATTCGCCCTGAAAGCCTAGACTGAGCCGCTGATCTTATGGGAAGCCAATCTGCTCCAGCCACTGTATCATTTTAAAATTCATTTCCCTGAATATCAAGGGAGCTATTCCCCTCTGTTGGGCAAATAAGTAGCAAAGTAAAACTGACAGGGTCCATATTGTTCAATAGTTTTGACAGTTAACCAAAGCTATTGAGAGCATCAGTTCAATTATTTGAAAGCTTCAGAACTTTATTCAAAAAGCTGTCAATCTTGCCCCTGTCACCAGCATATACGCCCTGAAAAGAGTAAAAAATTCAGGTGGAATGGAAGGATAAGAATGGCTAAATAGGGCAACGTAAAGAAGGCATGGGAAACAATGTCTTGTTTTGTTTTAATTTAGGGTCATTTTGTTTAGCCATTACAGTGGTACCTCAGGTTACGAACTTAATTCGTTCTGGAGGTCCATTCTTAACCTGAAACCGTTCTTAACCTGAGGTACCACTTTAGCTAATGGGGCCTCTCGCTGCCACCTTGCAGCCGCCGTGCAATTTCTGTTCTCATCCTGAGGTAAAGTTCTTAACCCGAGGTACTACTTCCGGGTTAGCAGTCTGTAACCCGAAGTGTTTGTAACTCGAGGTACCACTGCAGTGTACTCACGCAGTGTAATATATGGGATCTGGTGACTGGTGGTTGATAGAAATGCCAAACAGGTTTTGTCAATAAAAAAAGCATCAGAGCTATCATTCAAAGTGATCAGAAACTGATTGATCAAGAAAGCCAAATGCTGGAAGATTCAAGGCAGATGAGAGAATGTGTTACTTCGCACAGTGCATAGCTAAACTATGAAATTTGCTCCCACAAGATGCAGCAATGGAAGCCATTTGGATCACTGTAAAAGAGAATTATACAAATTCACTACAAACAGAAATGTCTAGGTTTGCATTTTGTGTGGGTCTAACAATGTGTGGTAGTTTTTACCAGTTAAATTGTCAACTAGTTTGTTGAACTTTATTTCAACATCCTCCAAAAGTCATCTGTGTAGGTCACATGCATATTTATTTATCATTTGTTAATTTATCAGTCTGGGAATTGGCAGGCAGAGCAGGCGAGAACAATTGGGTTGGGTCGATCACCCACAGCCCTGAAGAGGAGAGGCAGAGCCCCTGAAACATGGTGGCAAAGGAGGTGTTAGAACATTTTTTCAACCTGGTGCCAGAATGATAATTGTACTTGTAAGGGCCTTCCCAGAACAGGGTGCCACCACAGAGAATAACACACACCTGTTTGTCTCACTTCACAAGTTGAATCTGTCAGAGACAACACATCGCAGAAAGCTTTGTAAATTACCTCTGAGTGATAGCATATCCCCATGTGTCCATAGGACATGGCACCAACTTTTATGCCATTTGGGCATCTGGTGTGGATCATTTCAACACCAGGGCTATCAGTGTTGACAGTGGTACTGAAACTCTCAATGGTTGCACCATGGTTGCAAAGAGACTAAACCAGGAGTAAAGGTAAAGGTAAAGGGACCCCTGACCATTAGGTCCAGTCGTGGACAACTCTGGGGTTGTGGTGCTCATCTTGTTTTATTGGCCGAGGGACCTGGTCATGTGGCCAGCATGACTAAGCCACTTCTGGCAAACCAGAGCAGCGCACAGAAACCCTGTTTACCTTCCCGTCGGAGCAGTACCTATTTATCTACTTGCACTTTCATGTGCTTTTGAACTGCTAGGTTGGCAGGAGCTGGGACCAAGCAATGGGAGCTCACCGCATCGCAGGGATTCAAACTGCCGACCTTCTGATCAGCAAGTCCTAGGCTCTGTGGTTTAACCCACAGCGCCACCCGCTTAGCTAACCTGTATTCCCCCCGAGGCTGTTGGACTCCAACTCCCATCATCTCCAGCCAGTATGGAGAGTATCTAGAAGGTCACAGGTTCCCCATCCCTGCTCCAAGAGTTAAATAAACATATTTTTATCTCAAAATAAATCCATAACAATGGATTTTCTCAAAATACATTGCACTGCGAGATATACAGCTGTCTCTTGGGAAGTGTAAAAACTGGGAGATGAAGCTCACGTCAAATTGTACTGGGATACAAAGATCAAATTCCTCTGGCATCTCTAGTCTCTTGCCAGCAGTTTCTACATCATCATTTTGATGTGCACTTGGGCTTTTAACCCATGATTGTATGAAAACTCGCTTGGACATCAATTTTAATTGATGTCAATGGCATTCATTTTTAGCATAAATCTACAGAATGATTGGATTAGCAGGATTAAAATACAAACTATCCCAGTGCTGTACTATGACAAAATCCAGCAGTTGCAACCTAAAAAAGGTAAAGGTAAAGAACCCCTAACAGTTAAGTCCAGTCGCAGACGACTCTGGGGTTGCGGTGCTCATCTTGCTTTACAGGCTGAGGGAGCCGGTGTTTGTCCAGAGACAGTTTTTCTGGGTCATGTGGCCAACACGACTAAGCCACTTCTGGCACAATGGAACACCGAGACCAGAGCAGTGCATGGAAACACTGTTTACCTTCCTGTCGGAGCAGTGCCTATTTATCTACTTGCACTTTTTGGCGTGCTTTCGAACTGCTAGGTTGGCAGGAGCTGGGACAGAGCAATGGGAGCTCACCCTGTCATGAGGATTCGAACTGCTGACCTTCTGATCAGCAAGCCCAAGTGGTTTTGACCTGCAACCTAGTAGTGAGCTAATTGGCAGCCTGTGCAGTCAGAACAGGATCAGTGTAATATGCTCAAACTGTCTTGCCCTGGTGAGTCACATGGCTGCTGAATTCTGTACCAGCTGAAGCTTCTGATCCATCTTCAGAGGCAGCCTATAACATGTTGCAGTAATCCAGCCTAGAGGTTAGAAGAGCATAAACAACAGAAGTTAGGCTATCCCTGTCCAGAAGCTGATGGAAGGCACTCCAAGCCACTGAGGCCACCTGAGCCTCAAGCAACAGCAGAGGATCCTGCATCTGCTCCTTCAGACTAATGAGGAAAGGAGTGGAAGCAGGGGAAGTTTCCAGTTGGTGGTGGTGGTGAAATTCAGAGTTCGGCCGTTTAGAAATTCACTCAACACACAAATGTCAAAGATTAGGCACAGTGTAAACTTGTTTCAAGGGACGTGGGTGGCACTGTGGGTTAAACCACAGAGCCTAGGACTTGCTGTTCAGAAGGTCAGCGGTTTGAATCCCCGCAGCGGGGTGAGCTCCCGTTGCTCAGTCCCAGCTCCTGCCAACCTAGCAGTTCGAAAGCACGTCAAAGTGCAAGTAGATAAATAGGTACCTGTCAGGGGTTCAGGGAGAGAGGCACAGGGTAGGCAGGAGATGGAGAGCGATGGGGAAGAATTACAAGCCAGCGAGGAAGAGGATGACAATGACTCAAGAGATTCCATGAGTCTTTCCAGCGAATCAGAGGATTCCCAGAAGGGGCGCCGGTGGTCAAGGCCAGGGAGCCCCAGGGGGGACGTGTCAGGAGCAGGGGGCCAGCGGAGGATCCCAAAGTGGCAGCTGGGCGTCAGGACCAGCCTCCCCACCAGAGTGCAGCGAAGGGGGTGGAGTTTCCAGTGTGTCAGAGGAAGCAGCTCCGGCAGCAGAGAAAGGAGGGAGGTCAGAGCAAGCCGCCCTCCCG